TTTGCTTCCAACGGGTTTTCCGAAAATTTCAGATGTTCGGAATAATATTAATAAAATACATAACATTGGAAACATTTTAGTGCATCAAAATGTTTTTGGTCTTTCTTTAAAAATGTTTTTATTTCCTTTTCACAGGTTTCTCTCTCACTTAATCACAGTTTCAGGTATTTTCAGAGAAGAGCATCCAGAATATTACAAATTGCACTTGAATGTTCGTTTGAGTGTTGGATTGGATGTGGCGGACCGCAGCGACCAACCCGTATGTTTCGTTTTGTTGCATGTCATCGTCCCCTTTCTTTTCTTTTCTGTAATTTCGTTATCGTTCATTGAAAATGAAATTGAGTAGAAGTGGAAGAAGAGGAAGAGTGTGAATTGTTGCACCCCATTCATTTGGTTTTCCCCTTTTTAATTCACTATTATACCTAGGAACACATATTTCTTTTTTTTTTGTTTTTCAATATAAGAACAAGATCCCCCGAGATATTCATAATTCTAGTCTGAAAATCTCGTCATTATATTTATTTTTGCTCTCATAAAAGACCTCCGTATCGTAGGTTCTTCGATAATTATCCAGGAGCATCTGTTTCGAATTTATCTTCGTTTTCTTTTTATGAGATCCCATAGTACTACGTGTGTAATTGTTAATCTGAAGCGAATATGTGAATTTGAACCCCTAATTTCAATTTGTCCTCCACCAGATTGTGAGTGTACTAGGACCTTTTAGAAAAAGTGTCGAAATCTTCAGAAAATTGAATTGGATACAAAAAGTAATAGGCTTAAGGAAAGTGTACTGGAGATTGGGGATAGAATGAGTATTTGTTCAATCTTGTTCTTATATGTTAGTGGGTACTACTTTTAAGGTTACAACCATAGATTTTGTCTTATAAGATTCTGAAATTCTAGAGTTCTGAAGTTCTGAGATCCTGAAATTCTGAAATTCTGAAATTCGATGTTTTAATATTCTGATTTTTGGTAATTCTGAAATTCTAAAATTCTGAAGTTCTGAGATTAAGGAATTTTGAAATTTTGAAATTCTGAAATTCTGATGCTCTTGAAATTTAAAAATAATTTGAAATTCTAATATTCTAATATTCTGAAATTCTGAGGTTCTGGTTCTGAGATTCTGGAATTCCAAAATTTTAAAAATCTGAATTTCTGAAATTTGATTTTTTCAATATTCTGATTTCGTGAAATTCAGTAATTCCCCAAATCTGAAAATCTAAAAATCTGAAATTCTGATTTTGTGAAACTCTGAAATTCTGAAATTCTGAAGATCTAAAGTTCTGAATTTCTAGAATTCTGATATTTCAAAGTTCTGAAATTCTGAAATTTTAAAATTCTAAAGTTCTGAAATTCTATATCTTTTTGATATTCAATTATTCTGGTTCACCAGAAAACCAATTAATTTTTCAAAACCAATTTCAGTAACATATTCTGTACACACGCAACATCAATTTTCGTTTTTTTTTTGGAAACCTGGAAGATAATTTTTTCCTGGTTATAGGTTAAGTGTGGGACAACATTCGAATTGTAGCAAAAAATAACACTCTTCTGTTTAATTTCAAACAATATCATGTTTTTGAAGTTCTTCTGAGTTTTCTGATGAAATAAATACCGTACTTCCTCTAATAGAGGCCCACCCAAACTGTCAAATTTGAGCTCAAGAAATCGAGAAATTGTTTTTAAAATAAGAATCAGAAACGTTGTCTACTAAATCATACCGTAGATAGAAATATGGTTACTGTCGTTGGATGTTAGTTATTCAAAGGTGTTGAAACTTATTCAGATAAAGCGAGGTCGCTCAAAGGCGAACAAACGGCGGCTGAAGCTTTTGGAATTGGCTATAAACTTGGCATTTGAGCAAAGGAAAAATTTTCTCAGAAATTTTAAAAGGCTCGAATTAATAATCGAGCCATCATGAGAAATCTACATGTTTTAGTAAAATCTGTTTAGAAAACTCAAAAAACAATTTTTATTAAAAAAAAAGAATTTTTCATTATTTTTATCAGAACAAACATACATAGTTTTTTCAAAATGGTTCGATTACTAATGTTTGCCTTGAATACTTTTTATCAAAAACGTTCCCCATTTTCTTAAATTCTCAAGTTATAGCCAATTCTTAAACCTTCAGCCGTCATTCGTCCGCCTTTGAGCCTCCCCGATTTATCTGTGTCCAATATTCAAACTTTTGGGGATTTCATAACTAGAAATACATTTTGACAATGGAACAGTAGCTTGCAAGAATAATTTTCAAAAGTTTCGGATCAGAGATCTTTAATTGGGTTTCCAAAATTTGCCAGGAATCTTATATCATCAAAATCAACCTGCGAAATTTGAAATTATGAAAAATCGGAACTTTGAGATTGTTTTTTTAAGAAATAAAGGAGATGTATTCTTCTTTTTTATCATTTTAAAGTTTCCAGTGAGCTTTCCGAAACTGACTCAACCCCAAAGAAGTCTCCCATTTGGGCAGTGATTTACATCCGCCCCACTGACCCTTGTCCATTTCCTCCCATTTTCTGATTCCAACCCATTAAACAAAAACTAAGTCCATATTATCCCTTCCTTTTCCCTTTGTCTGTCTCTGTCAAAAAGCTTCTTCTTCCTGTCTTTCAAATTTTTGACCTGCCTCCTAAATTTTAGCCTTCGCCAAGACCGTCAAATGTTCTTTCACGCAACACTTGCGAGAAGTTTCATCAGTGCTCTGAGTGTTCGAGGTGATGATGATGCAGTGGATAGACTCAATTACTACTACACTCCGCTGATACTCGCAGTTTGTTGCCTTGTGATTTCTGCGAAACAATATGGAGGAACTCCAATCGAATGTTGGGTTAATCCACATAGTAGAGAATCAATGGAAGAATATATTGAATCGTATTGTTGGATACAGAATACCTATTGGATACCAATGTATGAGAATGTACCAGATGATCATACAGCAAGAGAGGAGAAGCAGATTGGATACTATCAATGGGTTCCTTTTATTCTTATAGCTGAAGCTCTTATGTTTTCTTTGCCCTGTATTTTTTGGAGGTTATGCAGTTTTCAGTCCGGTAAGATGTTTTCCTTGACCGTATTACTCTTGCACTTACGAAAATTCGGAGCTGTGGAAGAGAAACGCCGGTGGCCGTGGCCGAAGGTCCCACAACGACAACTACCGTAGCCTAAAGTAAAATACCTTTGTTCCGGATTCTTTTTCTCGTTTTTCACTGTTTTTTATCGATTTCCTGCTATTTTTTTTTAGGTTACGGTAGTTTTCGTTGTGGGACCTTCGGCCGCGGGCACCTGCATCCCTCTTCCGCAGCTGCGTTTTTTTTGTACCATAATAATAAAAAAAATGAATTTCAGGTCTAAATATACAAACTTTGATCAATGCCGCATGTGATGCACAAGCCCTTCTTGACTATTCGGATCGTCAAAAAGTAGGCTCAAGAGTTTTTCAAATAAACTGATCCAACATTTTCCAGGCTGTTGAAGCTATCACCTGCAACTTTGTTGATAATCTAGACCTACAGTCACCAAATGGAAGAATCAGAGCACGTGGCTGGATAGCTAGAATTAAGTTCTCAAGATTCCTCTCCGGACAGTGTATCTCTATTGTATACAGTTTCACTAAACTGCTCTATTCTGTGAACGTCGTCGCTCAATTTTTCATTCTTAACGCATGTCTGAAAAGCAGTGAATTCGTTTTCTTTGGATTCCAAGTAAGTCTTTCTTTCAGTCGCCTTCCAAAGTTTAAATTCCTTCATTTCAGGTTCTGAGTGATATCTGGGCAGGCCGCCCGTGGACAGAAACTGGTCATTTTCCGAGAGTAACACTGTGTGATTTTGAAGTTCGATACCTTGCAAACCTGAATAGATACACTGTTCAATGTGCTCTCCTAATCAATATCATCAACGAGAAAGTATTCGCTTTTCTATGGTGCTGGTATATGATATTGGCAATCATTACAACTTGTTCATTCATTTATTGGATTGCGAACTCATTCATTCATTCCGAAAAAGTTGATTATGTGATGAAATTTATTCAAATTGCGGAATCGAGTGAATATAAAAAATTGCAAAAATTCGAAAAAGATGCGACTGTCGAACGACTTTACACTGTGATTGCATTCGCACCACATCTTCTTGATTCTTTCGTTTCCGATTTTCTGAAATCAGATGGAGTAAGTTTTGAAGAATTCGTCAAAATTAAACTTTCTTTTCAAGATTCTGATGCTGCGAATGATTTCGAACCATGCTGGTGACATGATAGTTGTACAATTGGTCAGAAATCTCTGGCAAGAATATCGAGAAAGGAATTGGAGAGAATTCGAAGAGCACGAAGAAATGAAGGACGTAGAGATGCGGAGAATTCAAGGAACCAGAGAACGTATTGTGATTGCGAATCCTGGTCAGACGAAGTCATTTCTTTAATTAATGTTCTTATATGTTCCGGGTGTTCATCAGCTTTTTTCATGTACATTTCAAAGGAAACAATTAAATTGAAACTTTATTTGAATAGATTTTTGAGAAGGCAATAAAATATCATAGACCAGTGGTGAGGAGATTTTTTTAGTAGGACGATTGTGAGAGGGTGTCAGTCGACGAGTCGATTCAGCCCAAGCGGTTAAGGACGATGTTGGCCGATGGAACCAAATCTGTAAAGTAGAATGTGTTTATTAGGCACAGGACGGGAAACTTACTCAAGGCCTTGAGTGGAGTACCCATGTCATCTTCCGTGAACACCTTTCTCGGGAATGGAGTCATTAGGGAGAACCCTACACCGTTAGCGTGATTAGTATCGATCCAGGCTCGAACCATAGCGAGCTGAAATTAAAATGATCAGAAACTCTTCTAATTAGATGAAAACTAACCGGTTCATCAGCTTGGAACTGTTGTCGCACTATTTGTCCATCTAGAAGACGGAACTGTAGAGTAGTAGACTTGTAGTCCTTTGGTGGAGCAGCGACCACCGGAGCAACAGAAGCTGCTGGTTTTGGCTCCGGAACAGGTTGCCCAGCTGCCTTCGCCTTACGAGCTTCTTTATCTGCCTTGATTTGTTCAAGAACCCGTTGTCTTGCGATTTCGTCTTCTGTTTTCTCTCGACGACGTTGTTGAGCCGCTTCCCGAATCTCACGGTCTCTCGCTGCTTCCTTGTGAGCGATCATAGCTTTTCCATCTTCACGGCGCTTGCGCTCTTTCTCACGAGCTTCTTCTGCTTCAATTTTGGCCTTTTTCGCTTGATGAACCTTGATTTTCTCGCGAATTTCCAGAACCTTGGCAGCTTTTTCTTCCGGTGTGAGTGGCTTGATTTGTTCTTGACTCTCACTGAAATTTTCATGCTTCGTCTTCGTAGCATGAAACATGATTGCGTCTTCGTTAGCGAGAAGCTTCCCGCAGCTGAAATTTATCTTGGCTTTAATAAAACCCAGCGAATAGAAAATATAAATATTGATTCTAAAACTTCAACAACTCACTCATCGCATTTGAAGCTGGCAGCTGCCGCCGAGACACTCTCCTCATCTACCATTGCCGAACTTCCGTCTGTACCGGAGGCTGGATTCTCAGTTTCCATTGGGACACCGGCTCCATCTTTCTCGATCCAATCGAGTGCCTAGATTGAAAAAAATCAATAGGACAAGTTACTTTTCGAATACCTGATCCAGATTTCTGTTGTTTCCTGCTGCTGCTTCAGCTTTATCAGCTGGGAATCCCATATCGACGAGTTGTTGAGCAATGGACATGTTTTTATCTGTGGAGTTATAGAATGATTATTACGAGGCGGAACTAATAGTCAATAAAAAACAAGCGACAGATGAGATGAGAATAAATGGAGGGTACCTAGAGCAGATGGATTGGGTTGAAATAAAACTATGGAACATACTATCGGTAAATCTCGGCGACGGAAGATGGGTGATTCAAAGAATTTATGTTATTGATTTCGCAAGAATGAATGTAAAAAAAGATGAGGACGTATAGAAGGTATTTCTATCAATCGGGAATAGTCATCATGGTGGTCGATGTTTTCGCTAAAATCTCTGGGGAGCGCAAATGCACAATTTTTTGAAGAGAATTGAGACCCCGGAAATTCCGGGGAAAAAACTCCGGAGAAAAGTGGGCGGAGTCGGGGGCGGAGCCTAAACTGCAACCCTGGCACGGTTTTTCTGCATGGTTTTTCTCAAGACCG